TAGTGCCCGTCCCTTGCTCGCAGCTGGGACTCCCTGTGTTGGGGTGTCTCTGATCTGGGCTGGGAAGGCTGGGCTTCTGCTGTCCCATAGGTACCCTAAGCCTGCAAGTGAGTAGAGCGGAAATGGTTGGATGCTCTCTGTGTCCAGGGGAACAGTTTCTCTCCTGCACACTGTGGCTGGCCACTGAGTTAGTGACACCAGCACCAACTCAGGGTTTTAAGAGCCAAGATGGTTTTGTCACCATGGCTGGCGATGTGAGACTTCTGCTCCCCTTCCTTAGGCTTCCTTCTCCCCTGGGTTTTCCAGGCTTTTGGATATCCCTGCGCAAACAGGTAACCCAACCCGGCTGCAGAGGCCCTGGGGAAATGTGCTGCTGCTTCTGATCATAACCGGGCGTTTTAAGAAGAACCAGATGATAAAGCCAGAAATTCTGCTGGGTGCTCTGACATGAAAGGAGTGGGGAGGGAGGAGGGATTTTGCTGCTTTTTTTTTTTTTGTTCTGAGGCTTGTGCTTTTCCTTACAAGTTTATAAATCACTTCACGGATCATTCTCCTCCTTTCAAGTCAGTCTCAGATTGATCCCTGTGCCCATGTGTTGAGCACGCAGCCTTGGGAGCCCCAACACATGCACGGCAGCAGGATGCTTTCAGAGGCGTTGCTACAGGCAGCCCCTGCCTTGCCTCACCAGGGCCTCGGGGAGGGGGAGCAAAGCCGCGGCTGGGCTGGGGCTGCCAGGGCAAGATCTGATATTGCATTCTCCTACTTACCCTTCAGGTTGCCCGTCCTGGAGACCACAGCACCGTCTGGTGACGTGACTCACCCCCACCATCTTGTCTCGGTGGTCCCCAGCAGATACCCACGCTGGTTCACCCTGGGGCACCTGGAGTCTCAGCAGTGTGAGCTGGCCTCCACCATGCTCACGGCAGCCAAAGGTTGGTGAAGGGCTGGCTCTGTAACAGGGGTGATGGGACAGGGCTGCACGAGAGCATCAAAGGGACTTCACTGGAGAAAAGAGAGATCTCCTCTTTCTACTCCCTTGAGCGCTGGCAAAGACCAGGCTGGGCATCCCCTGGCAGTCTGCTGCGGGCAGGGCATGGTGCGCTGGCCTCGGAGCAGCCTACCAGAATCTGGGATCTCTGGGGCTTTGGTCTCAAAGGTTCCCAAGGCTCGTGTTCCAGCAGGACAGGACAGGAGGTTCCCAAGAGGTGTGGGCAGCCCTGTAGGGATGCCAGCCGCAACGCCAGAGATCCCAGGTAGTGCCCTGGGTGATGCTGTACCATGCGTGCCCTGCAGCATGGTCAGCTGCCAGGTCAGCGAGCCCTGCCCAGCATACCATGGGTTCATGCTGCAGGCTTTTCATGAAGTATCTCTCTGGCTGGAAACCAGTCCCACTGGGGAAGCAAGCTGAGCGGTCACCGCTGCCCGCTGCTGTCCCGCACAGTCCGTGTCAGCCTCCAGCAAACTGTGCTGCCAGCCTGATGGGGAAGGTGCCACTTCCCTGACGAGGTGGAAGGTAAATGAGCCATCCGAAAGCTCCAGCCTTGCTGCCTTGGCAGCCACTTCTCTCCTTTCAGCCCTCCCCCAGCTTTTCCAGGGCTGATGGCGACCTGCTCCTGCCTTGCAGTGCCCTGATATAAAGCTGGCACCTGGACGCAAGTGGCTTATCCTCAGTGTCTTCTCCCTTCCAGCACTTAATGGGGATGAGGTTTTTATGCCAGGGTTGTAGGGCTCTTGGATTACGTTGGATTATGTCTATTTTTCCCACCGTGCCCTTCCCTGGGTGTTCCCCCACCACAGCATGTCCCCATGCGATCCTGTGTCCTCACCATCTCTCTCGCCCGCACCCCCGCGAGCTGTTTTAGGGAGGCTTAGATTTTGGTGGTGGTACAAGTGGGTGCTGTGGGCGGCAGGTGATATCTTTAGCAGTTATTAGTCACCCAAGATGTCTCTGCGTGCCCAAGTGCAGCACTAGGTTTTTCATGCTGCTGTGTGTTACTTGGTTTCTTTTGTGTGAGGTTCATTTGCTCAGTTTATGACTATGGGACTAGAAACATGAACCTGGAACAAAGCAGAGCAACCTGATGTGGCACGGTGGCTTTTCTGGTCTGCACCCATGCCAAAGGTCCCTCTCCCCACCCTGTGTCCCACACAGGCTGACAGGAGGATTTCCCAAGCCAGATGCAGGATCATATTAATGTGCCTTGATGGGTCCCTCTTCCAAGATCCTGCCCCATCTGCCAGTGCCACCACATGTCCTTCTAGGACACATCTCCTGCTGTGGCAGGAGACCCACAGCGTCACTGGGTGTCGTGCCAGGAACCCACTTCTTTGGGGGTATCTCAGCTTGTCTTGGTCGTGAGAGCTGCATGCTTGACCTGGGACATCCAGAACCAAACCTCTGCAGTGAGTCTGGGTGACCCTGTCCCAGCCTTTGCTAGCCTTGCAGAGAGAAGGGGCTTGCGGACAAGAAAGTATGTGTGCAGCAAACAGTTTTTCCACTTCTTTTTAATGTTCCTAAATGAAGACTGACTTTTCTGCAGCCATTCAGCACTGGGCATCTCCCCAAACCCCTCCTTTGTTGGAAAGAGCCTGCTTTATAGCTGTCAAACTTGAGTCCAGGGTAGAATGTCCAGGTGCCTGGAGATGTCTGCTAATGCTCCAGGAGGTGTCTGGGATCACTCAGGTTGTTTGTCCTCTCTGTGAGAGGATGGTCTTGAGTGAGGGTGGGTGCTGTAGGATGTGTCACCTCCTGGGGAGGACCCCCCATTTTGCTGTTGGACTGCAGGGCCTGATCCAGCATCCCCATGCATCCCTCCACATGCGTGTCCAGAGGGACTGACTGTGCTGAAGGGGCTGTTCACCACCCAGTACAGGCAGGAGATGGGGCTCAGGGGCAAGGTGACAGCCTTCTGACTGTTCTTGCCTGTATCCAGGAGATATGCTGCGCCTACGCACAGTGCTGGAGGCCATCCAGAAGAATATCCACTCCTCCTCCTTGATCTTCAAGCTGGCCCAAGATGCGTTCAAGATCGCCACGCCGGCTGACAGCAACTCGGATACGACGCTGCTCAACGTGGCGCTGGAGCTGGGGCTCCAGGTATGGGATGGCGCTGGGGATGCTGGTGGCCCTTTTGCCCCATGCACTGCGGCAGTGGCACTGGTGGTGGTCTTCCACAAGCAAGTTGGTCCTCTGTGAGAGGAGTAAATTCATCACTTCATGGCCCTGAGCAGGGGAGCTCAGCCCTGAGAGGCCCTGTCCCCGCTGCACTTTGGGTGGAGGCACGGCAGTGCTGGGGAGCCAGTAGCCAGCTGGGCCAGAGGGATTTTTGGGGAGTACCACTGTGTTGGGTGGCCTCGGTGGAGCCCTGTGGGGTGACTGGTCACTCTGCATTTATCTTGCAGGTGATGCGCATGACCCTGTCCACCCTCAACTGGCGTCGGCGGGAGATGGTGAGGTGGCTGGTGACGTGCGCTACTGAAGTGGGTGAGTGCCTCGCTGTGCCAAGGGGATCCAGTCCACGCGTGGCGGGAGCAGGGTGGGCACAGAGATCATAGGGTCGCTCATAGCCCTGGGCATCTGAGCTCTCCTGGGTCTCACATTTCTTCCTGGGTAACTGGATGCACCTCAGAGCACCAGCTGGAAGGGCTGGGGCCGCAGCGGTGGCCGGGTTTGAGACTGGGACAGGTATCCTGGACCCGGGCCATGCCAGTGGTGTGTATTGGCTGTGCCCAGCAGCATGGCAGCACAGGGTACCTCTGCCTTTCCCCCTCCACCCTCTCGCCCTGCTGGGGTAGAGGCAGCAGGTCAGCGCCACTGCAGGCTGGCTTTGCCCTGGCTCCAGGCACCGGGGGACTCAGAGGAGCCCTGTGATCTGAGCCGGGCTCCAGGCCTGTGCCATGACCTGGTGTTTTCTTGCAGGGGTGAGGGCCCTGGTGAGCATCCTGCAGAGCTGGTACTCGCTGTTCACTCCCACGGAAGCCACCAGCATCGTGGCAGCCACAGTGATGTCCCACAACACCATCCTGCGCCTGAGTCTGGACTACCCACAGCGGGAAGAGCTGGCCAGCTGCGCCCGCACCTTAAAAAAACCGCAGAACTGCGCCCTGTCTGCCCTGACCCTCTGCGAGAAGGACCACATCGCTTTCGAGACTGCCTACCAGATCGTCATCGACGCCGCCTCCACCGGCATGACCTACACCCAGCTCTTCACCATCGCCCGCTACATGGAGCACCGAGGCTACCCGCTCCGGGCCTTCAAACTGGCCTCGTTGGCCATGACGCACCTCAACCTGGCCTACAACCAGGACACGCACCCGGCCATCAACGACGTGCTCTGGGCCTGCGCCTTGAGCCACTCTTTGGGCAAGAACGAGCTGGCGGCCATCATCCCACTGGTGGTGAAGAGCGTGCACTGTGCCACGGTGCTCTCGGACATCCTTCGCCGCTGCACCATGACGGC